ACAGAAATTAGAGAGGTGGGGCTTAGCTAGGCGGGGTTTAGACAGGCGGGCCCACCTCGAAGAGCTCTCCCGGGCGCAGGTGGGAGCGGGAGAAGACGAGGCCGTGGCAGTACCCGGCCACTCGAGCCGCCCCCAGGCCCTCGGCCCCCAGAGCCACGTTCTGCCCGCAGCGCCCGTGGAAACGCTGGCACGGACCGGGGGCTAAAGGGGGGGGAAAACGGGGGGTCGGGGGGGGTTATGGGACCCCAAAGTCCCTCTGACCCCCCACAGACCCCTCTGGGACCCCAAAGCTCCTCTGACCCCGCACAGACCCCCCTGGGACCCCCCATGGGCTGTGGGACCCCTGGCAAAGCCCGGGGGTTGAGGGGGGACACGGGGGGGTCACGGAGGTTCGGGGGGATTATGGGACCCCCCAAAGCCCAGCACAGACCCCCCTGGGACCCCAAAGCCCCTCTGACCCCACACAGACCCCCCCAGGACCCCAAAGCCCCTCTGACCCCGCACAGACTCCCCCTGGGACCCCTGGCATGGCCCGGGGGCTAAAGAGGGGGGACACGGTGGGTCAGGGGGGGTCAGGAGGGGGTTATGGGACCCCAAAGCCCAGTACAGACCCCCCACCGGACCCCAAAGCCCCTCTGACCCCACACAGACCCCCCTGGGACCCCAAAGCCCCTCTGATCCCACACAGACCCCCCTGGAATTGCTGGTGGGAGTGGGGATTGTAGGGAAAGGGGCGTGGTCATGGAAATAGGGGTGTGGCCAGGGGTGGAGCCAGCACCTCCCAGTGACCCCCAGTCCCCTCCCAGTGACCCCCAGTGCCACCCAGCACCTCCCAGTCCCCCCCAGTGCCCCCTAGCACCCTCCCCACTCCCCTCCCAGTCCCTCCCAGTGCCCTCCCAGTCCCTTCCCACTCCCCTCCCAGTCCCTCCCAATCCCTCCCACTCCCTTCCCAGTCCCTCCCAGTGCCCCCCAGCACCCTCCCTACTCCCCTCCCAGTCCCTCCCAGTGATCCCCAGTCCCTCTCAATGCCCTTCCAGTGCCCCCCAGCCCCTCCCACTCCTCTCCCAGCCCCTCCCACTCCTCTCCCAGTCCCTCCCAGTGCCCTCCCAGTGCCCCCCAGTGCCCACCTGGGGAGGGGGGTGGACAGGCCTTCTCCGGGGGGGCTCCGGGGGCCAGGCTGTTGTCAGCGGGGCCGGTGGCACCGGTGAGGGACACCTGGACACACTGACCATAGAGATCCACCACCGCATAGACCTCTGGGGACAGGGACAGGGTCACCTCAGGGTCACCTCAGGGTCACCTGGGTCACCTCAGTGTCACCTCAGGGTCACCTGGGTCACCTGTGTCACCTGGGTCACCTCAGGGTCACCTGGGTCACCTCAGTGTCACCTGGACACACTGACCACAGAGATCCACCACGGCACAGACCTCTGGGGACAGGGACACCTGGATCACCTGGGGCACCTCAGTGTCACCTGGGTCACCTGGGTCACCTCAGTGTCACCTGGACACACTGACCATAGAGATCCACCACCGCATAGACCTCTGGGGACACGGACAGGGTCACCTCAGGGTCACCTGGGTCACCTCAGGGTCACCTGGGTCACCTGTGTCACCTGGGTCACCTCAGTGTCACCTGGACACACTGACCATAGAGATCCACCACCGCATAGACCTCTGGGGACAGGGACAGGGTCACCTCAGGGTCACCTGGGTCACCTCAGGGTCACCTGGACACACTGACCATAGGGATCCACCATGGCACAGACCTCTGGGGACAGGGACACCTGGGTCACCTGGGTCACCTCAGTGTCACCTGGGTCACCTCAGTGTCACCTATGTGACCTCAGGGTCATCTCAGTGTCACCACAGTGTCACCTGGGTCACCTGGGTCACCTCAGTGTCACCTGGGTCACCTCAGGGTCACCTCAGGGCCACCTTGACACACTGACCATAGAGATCCACCACGGCATAGATCTCTGGGGACACGGACAGGGTCACCTCAGGGTCACCTGGGTCACCTCAGGGTCACCTGGGTCACCTGTGTCACCTGGGTCACCTCAGTGTCACCTGGGTCACCTCAGTGTCACCAGGGTCACCTGGACACACTGACCATAGAGATCCACCACCGCATAGACCTCTGGGGACAGGGTCACCTGGGTCACCTGTGTCACCTGGGTCACCTCAGTGTCACCTGGGTCACCTGGGTCACCTGTGTCCCCCCAACATCCTGGATGTCCCCAATGTCCCTGGATGTCCCCAATGCCCTGTCTGTCCCTGGATGTCCCCAGTGTCCCCGTACCTGGTGGCAGCCCCGAGCAGGCCACACCCTGGACGGTCCCATTGATGAAGTATCTCAGGTCCCCCGTCCCTGTGTCCCTGTGTCCCCTCAATGTCCTGGATGTCCCCAATGTCCCCAAAGCCCTGGATGTCCCCAATGCCCTGGATGTCCCCAATGTCCCTGGATGTCCCCAGTGTCCCTGGATGTCCCTGGATGTCCCCTATGTTCTGGATGTCCCCAATGCCCTGGATGTCCCCGATGTCCTGGATGCCCCCGATGTCCTGGATGTCCCTGGATGTCCCCAGTGTCCCTGGATGTCCCTGGATGTCCCCTATGTTCTGGATGTCCCCAATGCCCTGGATGTCCCCGATGTCCTGGATGTCCCTGGATGTCCCCAGTGTCCTGGATGTCCCTGATGTCCCTGGATATCCCCAGTGTCCTTGGATCTCGCTGGATGTCCCTGGATGTCTCCAACATCCTGGATGTCCCCAATGTGCCTATGTCCCCTTTAATGTCCTGGATGTCCCTGTCTGTCCCTGATGTCCCTGATGTCCCCGTACCTGGTGGCAGCCCCGAGCAGGTCACGCCCTGGTCGGCCCCGTCGATGAAGTATCTCAGGTCCCCCATCCCCGTGTCCCCCCAGTGTCCTCAATGTCCCCGATGTCCCTGATGTCCCCGTACCTGGTGGCAGCCCCGAGCAGGCCACGCCCTGATCGGCCCCGTCGATGAAGTATCTCAGGTCCCCGGTGCCCGTTCGCATCATCCCGATCCTGGCGCCCGTCCCCAGCGCGTCCAGGTCGCAGCCGTAATTGTTCCTCATCGTGTTCCCGTCCTGCATGATGGCAGTGCCACTGCGGGGACATTGGGGACATTGGGG